TGATCAATAATTACCCCATCTGTAGGGGGCAACATTTGATATAGTTTCCTATAATCAATTATAATGTTTACAGTAGATGTGAAACAATTAAACAAAAGCTTACACTACTTTTATATTAAAGAAAAAGAAAGTTACTCAAAATATTTATTATTAAGAGAAGAAGGGGGATCTTTGCAGAAATGTGTACATTTTGAAACCCATCTTTGAAATGGAAAATACAGAAAGCAGTTTAAAAGATACTTATTTTGTTAGATTAAACAAAAAATTATTATTAAGTAAATGTAGTTATATTTTAGTAAAGTGTACAAGCATTCTTGTCCATGTCTTAAATTAAAAAAAAAATTTTTTTTTTTGAAATAAAACTTAGGTGATCATTATTTACCCCAGAAACAGAGTGATCGTTAATTACCCCGGGTCACCCTAATATAAAATTAAAAATTCAAAAACCGTGAAAGTTTAAAAGGTAGTTCAGTCTAGAAATTATGTTCTTTCTTTCATTTTTTTTCATTAATGAGCACCATATTTTACCTACACTTATTTGAGTATTTATTTTTTAATAGAGTCATATTCGAGTGATTTGTGATCTTTATTTTGGGAGTTCAGCACGGATTATACGATTTTCAATTTATGTATGAATTTTAATTTATAACCGTTTAATTTATTTACAAATTTTAATTTGTATTATAAACGGTTGAATTTATTTGCGCTGAGTTACTTTGCATCAGCACAATTTTATCACCTGAAATGGATAAGTACCAAAAATATCTTAAAAGGGTTTTTATTTATTTTTAATTTTAGTTGCTTTAAAGAAATTCTCATAAAAGAATAAAAAATAAAAATAAAACTTTATATATTCTAATAATTTCATTCATTTCAATATATAAAAAGACAAGAAGATGTAAAAAGGTTAAATTACTAGTAGAATTACAGATCTGTCAGAGTTATTTTATTTTATTATATTATAATTTATGAATATTTTTTATTTGCAATTATTTATGATTTATTTAAAATTATTTAGTTATTTTATTATATTAAAACTATAATTTCTTCTTTAATTATTATTAATTATATTTATTTACAGATTAGTAAAAAAAAAAACTAAAAAAAAAACATACAAGACTTTAAACTAAAAAAAATCAGAAGTAATGTAGTGAAATGTAGGTTCCTCAAAATTCTTTTCTTTTATTATATTAAAATTTAATTTAAACTCTTTTCAACTAATTTTTTTGTTCTCAAAACTATAATTTCTTCTTTAATTATATGTATTTATATATTAATACATTGATATACAACTATAATATGTTGTAGGGAACTCTCGTGTATTCATTTTGGGACAATTTTCTTAATTTTTTGAAAGTGTGGCGTAACTACCAATTCGTGTATTAAACTTCAATTCACTAATATATAAGACATACTAACTTGATTCCGTCACATGGTATCTTTTGAGAGAAGGTTGGCATAGTCCATAACTCCTCTCGCCAAATTGGTGACTTGGGACGTGCTATGAACACGCCTACTTCAATGAATGGTTCACATTGAAAAGTTACTTGATATTTGTGACTGCCTCATCGTTCTCCTTGCGCTGTTGCTTCTCAGTCTCATTTGAGCATAAAGGGATCCTGCATACACTCGACTGTTAATAGCATCACAGGAGGGAAAGCACGCACAACTGTGAATTCAATGCAGCTCTCACCAGAAACACTTAAAATCTGATGAGCTTAACACAGCTCTCCCAGTCTTTCGCAAATACGACAACTAGTGGTATATGTGCATCGAATTCTGTCCCAGATAAAATTCTGGTGGCGTAACTAACGCTATGTGTATTAAATATCAATTCACTAGTACAGTGTTTCCCAAAGTGTGGTATGCGTACCCCCAGTGGTACGGGAAGAGTTTAGCGGGGGTACTCGTTCTTATGCAAAATATCTTGCAACTTATTTAAAAACAAAGCTAGCAATGAAATTTTTTTTGTATTGGCTATTTTTTTCAGAGTGCCGACCCGGTGGCCAAGTGGTTAGCGTGCCTGACTGCGGAGCCGATGGTTGCGAGTTCGAATTCTGATCAGAGCATAGATGTTTCTTTCTCTCTCTCTGTGTTCTATGTCCTTTCTTCTGTATGAATGTAACCCGCGCTATAAACGGGTTTGTGGTTGCGTGACGTGGGCGACGCTACTCCACCGACGTGGCTTAGCCATAGTTGCTCACTGGGTAGTGATAAGAGAGTAGCAATTCTGGCATTTCTGAGGCAAATGGGAAATCGACCCAAGTACCCAACATTAACCAAAAAAAAAAAGTTTTTTTTTTTTTTTGCTGAGTTAATAGTTAATCATAAGTGGTGCCAACGGCCAGTTGTGATTTGTAACTTTTGTGCAATTTATTTTATCACAGCAAAAACAATATCATCCTTCTCACTGATGCAAATAAATTTATTAACAAAACTTAGTACCAAAAAAGAAAAATAAATAATTTTTAAAAAAAATAGATTAATTTTTTTATTAGTGGTACACAGCGTTACGAAAAATTTAGAAAGGGTACACGAAAGTCATAAGTTTGGGAAACACTGCTGTAGTATTAAACATTAACCTTTCAAGCTACACCAAAAAGCATATTTACAGCCCCTGCAAGCTGTAAAACTAAATATAATGCTGAATAAATAAGGTAAATAAAAATTTAAAGGATGTAGCAATGGTGTTCTGCCTTGAAAAAAAAAACATTCTTGGCATTTAAATGTTTTCACTTGATAAGAAAGTAAAAATTATATTCTTTGAGAATTACATTACTTTACTTATTTAATTTTATCTTTTTTCTAATATCACCAAGTAGTGATATCCTTTTTTCAGTTTGATTAATTATAAAAATTTGTTAAGGTTAGCATGCATTAAAAATAATGTTCAATTTTACTGGTATTTCTTGGTTTCAGTTAAAATTTATAAATTTTATATATTTGTTTATTTGGCATCAGTTTATATTTTATCAAAAAGAATTGTATCATTAAAATTATTCAATTATATGTTATAATATTTGAAAAAAAAATTGTACTGAGTTTAGTTTTCACTTTTTCTCTTTTCAGACTACAAAGGATGCTGTAGCAAATGGAGCAGTTTCAGAAATTGAGTTGAAGAATGTTACCAAAGAAGGTTACCCTAAAGCTGTGCCACGGCATTTCCATATAATTAAAGTCCTTGGTCAAGGTTCATTTGGAAAAGTAAGTAAAATTCATTACAATTTCACAATAACTTATTAGTTTTATCATTTCTTCTGTCTTAAATTTTTGTCTTTAAAAAAATAGTGAAAGGACTTTTTTACATATATTGACATAAGTAACAGGTATTGCTTAACTATAATACATTAAAACAATATTGTTAAATGTATTTCTGTAAAAATCATAATTAAATTATTAAAAACTTGGTCTTATGCCTTTTTTTTTTCTTGAGTATAAGTTTTGCTTATAAAATAAATTAGTTTAGCTTAAAGCCTATTTTATCAATTATTTGGATATCTTATCTTGCTTTTCACTTTCCATAGTCATTGTTAAGTTAATTTTTTAATAATTTTAAAATTTAATAATATTTTTTTATTTATTTTTTCATTAAAATAAAAAATATTTCACTTTATAAGCGAAGGATATTAATCCAGAATTAATTTAATGAGCCTTTACTCTGTTAGTTTTACCAATATCTTTATTTATTATTCACATTGCAAATACGGAACACCATTAAGGAATTTATAATAAAAGCATTATTTATTTAGAAAACGGAAATATTTATGTATCAAAATCAGGGCACTTTTAATACGACCAGACAACTCAAACATTTTTAGCTATTTTTATTTTGAAGCCTATGACTTTTCAAAGGAATTGTTTTTTTTTTCTGATTAAAAATTACCTCACTGTTTGATTTGTCCATTTTAGTTTTTAACATTTGTTTCTAATGTGAATTTTTCCTTTTGTTTTAGAATTTGATGTTTTTTTAAGATAAAAATAATCATTTTTTTTTTCAAATATACTGCATTTATAAAAAATTCAGTGTGTCTTATTTTTTTTTAATTACTGAAGTTTTTGAAGTGTTTTTAAAATAGATGATTTGATGTAATTCATGAAAAGCAATGGGCTCTTGTGAATTTTCATGTTCCTGTTTTAACTTTTTCATAAACTCAATTCTCTTAAAATAAATTTGCTGCGTTTTTTATTTTAAATTATTTAGCCAAAAAAGTTCAAATTAAATTATTAATTTAATTATAAATTTAAGTTACCAAAGTTAAATTATATATATGAATAATTTTTGCAAAAAAACCTTATAAACTTTTGCATTTTTAAGCTTTTTATTCAAATTGAATTATTAAAAGCATGCCCTGCAATATATAACTTCATTGTTTTTTTTTTAATAAAGTAAAAAAAAAAAAAATACTCTTCAATTAAGGTCAAGTTAATTACTTATATTATTATTATTATTTACTTATTATTATTATTTATTTATTTATTATTATTTATTTATTATTATTTATTTATTTATCTTTTTAAGAAGTGATGGAATGAAATGCAATTAATTTAGACTAGATAAAACTTTTTTATTTCGATGTTATTGAAATTAACTAAGATTTTATTAGGAAATCGAAACATTAATATTTACTTATTTATTATGCTGCAAATGTATTTTAGGCCATAAATAAACTTAATAACTTTATTTTATGTAATTTTCATTAAGTATTTGATTTGTGTTTGAATCCTTTTATAATTTGCTAACATTTATTTTTAATCTATTATTTTGCTTATAAAAGACTTTGTGTTGATTCTTACAGTTAACTGTAGTTTAAATTATGGAATTCTTTTTTTATATTTTTTTCAGGTTTACCTTGTAAAGAAAGTTGCTGGTCCAGATACAAACACTTTGTATGCTATGAAAGTTTTGAAGAAGGCTTCTTTAAAAGGTAGGTATTTAATTTAACCTACCTTTAGTATTGAAGCAATCAATGTATGCTATTGAATACTGTAACTGCTAAAAGATACTTCTTCACATTTTTTGCAACCATAAGGAATTTTCAAAATTATTAAATCTGATTGCAGTGAAATCTGAGTAAAACTGACACCTTCTGAATCAATAAAATTTTCTGGCATGGAGAAGTGCCTCCTTGTAAGAAGTCATGCTAATTTAGAAATTTAATGCTGTAAACTTTTTTAATTAAACTAATATGTCAGTACTGCAAATTCATAAATAAAAAGATGAATATCCTGCTTTTTCTCACACGACACATGAAATTATTTGTCAAAATTATTTCTTATTTATAAAAAATTCTTTGTAAAATTAAAATTTAGAATTCTTCCTTTCTTTTTTTCCCTTAATAAAAGTGTGCAACAAAATTTGTATTTTTTTTTTTAATTTTAAAAAAAGAGGTAAAGCATTTCCACGACAGCCCATTGGGGAACATGGATGTCATGGAGATTCAAGCTTCACAATTTCAACATGATAGTGATAATGTAGTCTGCATTGCACACAGGCCACCTTTACTTTCAGATAAGCTGGTATCCATTGATCTGAAGCTAGGTGGGCTGCAAACTGCTACTGGTGATGTAAACCCAGTTCTTCACTGTGACGGTTCAGTGCCTTAGACACTGAGCCGTGATGGCTCCTTATTTGTTGTTAAATATAGATTTTTAGAAAAGTTTTTTTTGATAATTTCTTGTCATATTTCTCTATGTATAATAAAAATTAAATTGAGAGAGAGACAATACATGAGGTTATCTTGAGAGGAGGTTCAAAATACTATTTTTTATTATTAATATAATTTGCGTTTCCTAATAAAAAAATTTATTTTCTTTTTCACCTAAAAATGATTTAAACTTTTATAACTAAAATTATGCAAGTGCATTTTAAAATGCATCATGCTAATTTTTGTACTTATTTTTGAATTTTAAAATTTTAAATTAAAATTAAATTTTTCATTAAAAATTGAGAGAAATTTGTTTATTTCAGTGAGAGATCGAGTACGATCGAAGTTTGAAAGGGACATTTTAGTTGATGTCCATCATCCTTTTATTGTGAAATTGCATTATGGTGAGTTTCAGTCAAATACTTGATCTGTAAAATAGAAAATAATATTTTACTATTCTATAAGAAAATAAATAACATTCAAAAACTGTTTTAAAAAATCCAAAAGGTTTAATGTGTGAACTTAAATTCAAGATATTAAAAATTGTCATTCAATTTGATAACTGAAAATTCATATGTTCCAGTTGCTTATTTCATTTTTGACTTATGCTAGTGATGTTTAGTTATTTTGATACTAAATAATTTAATGTGTGAACTTAAAATGTTTTTTTGAAAAATATTGTCTTTCTTCATGGTGTATAGCATTTTTAAAAAGTGCTTAAATATGCTTATTTTCTTTTTATAAAAGCCCTTAAAGGTGATTTTTCTATGGGGTGTTTTTAAAAAGGTCTTAATTTCCCCTTTTCGAAAATGAGATTTCTTTGTTTAGCATGTCGTTTTTCACTGCATATTATGCAAAAGCGTTGTTTTCACATTGTTCTATTCAACATTTTTCCAATTCATTCAACCACAATCCATTTCGCTTACTGTCGGTTCGTAACATATGATAGCGCCAATCATGTTACATCCACATGTGCATTTATTGAGCTGGGTTCGGTGAGATTCTTGCACTCTCATGTGCAACTCTACTGCTTTCTGTAAGATATTCTCAATTTCAGGCTTCATTTTCCACCCTCTGAAATCAAACCGAAAAATCTCTCGATCTTTTTATAGTGGCTAATATAATCAAGAAAAGAATTCTTTGTCAGGAACTAGTTATTTTATCATAATCATGATCATGATAAACTTGAGTCTTTGAAAATTATTTTATATTTTTTTAATATATATAGTGCTTAAAAATATTTTTTGAGTGCTTAAAAGTACTCTAAAGGTGCTTATTTTAAAATTAAAATTTAATTTATTTTTAAACTAATTGAGCAATCATCACCAAACTTCATGCTTAGTCTGTTTAAGATGCAACAACTAAATGCTGTAAATTTTAAAATTGTAGCTCAAAAATTGAAAAAAAAAATTTTAAACGTCCCTTGTACCCTTGAGATTTGGCCACACACCCTGTTCTTACATTATTTTTTTTTTTATTCTGAATAATAGTCTTACCAAAAACCATTTGTTTACCTAACAATGTTAATTGAGTGTAGTAATTTACATTTCTTTTAGCATACTTTAAATCCGAAAATAATTTTTTTCACTGAATTAATACTTATGTTATTGATATCTTAATTAAAGACAATAGTTTAAAAATGTTAACATTTTCTTTTATTGTATAATTTTAATTCTTTAAATATAAATTTAAACAAAATAGTCTGAATTGAGAAATGAAAATTAATTCAAAAATAAGACTTTTGAATGTTTATATCACAAGATCTGTTAAACTGTCATTTAAAAATATGTAGTTTTGGTTAATGTAAAAAATTTAATAAGAATTTTGTGCAAAACAAATACAATTTGTTTAAGCATTTGCCAGATGGAAAAATAATCTCTAAAAATAGTCAATAAGAAATTTAAACTTCTAACTTCTCTGACCTTTTATTTTTTGGATTGATATTAAAGTATTTGTTGATTGCAGCAGCGTCTGTCCATACTTTTTTTCTCATTTTTGTTCTATAAAAAAAGCACTTAATTTTTCTGTTTTAACTAATTAATTAGCATATTTAAGGTGGATGCTTTAATCCATTAAGGCCACATTTTAATAAGCTGTAAACTTTTGACCATTAGGTCAAATTTGTTCAATGATCTGTTTATTTTATTTTGCATTTTCTGATTGTGTTTATCATCTAATAGGAGTATTTAGTTTTATGATAAATAAATGTAACATTGAAAAATAATAAAAATATAAGCTATTTATAAATCCTCTAAGTTTCTGGCTTTATACGTGAAACAGTCTATTCAATACATATAATTTATTAATAAAAATTGATGTTCTTTTACTTGTAAAGATGGATAAATTTGTCTGTGTTGTCTTAATTGAAATCTTAATTTTTATAATAAATTTTTGTGATCAATTTCTTTTTAAAATTTTTATCAATATTTATTTCAGCTTTTCAAACAGAAGGTAAACTGTACCTTATTTTAGACTACTTAAAATGTGGTGATCTATTCTCCAGGTTAAGCAAAGATGTAAGTAAAATATTTAAATAGGGGAGATTTTGTTTATTTATTTATAAAAAATTAATTTATAGGGTAATTTTTTTTCCTTTTTTTATTTTTCATAGGTTATGTTTACAGAGGATGATTCAAAGTTCTATCTTGCTGAATTGGTTTTAGCTCTTGAGCATTTACATAGTTTAGGAATCATTTATAGGGACTTAAAACCTGAAAAGTAATTTTATTCATTTTTCTTTCTGAAATAATAATTTTTTTTTATTACAGTAGGAGATCTATATAATGCAATTATTTTATAAACTGCAATTCTTCATAAAACATACTAGCTTTATGGGTGTAAATAATGAAATTTGCCATTAAAAAATGTCTAACAAAGCCAAATTTTATGTTTTTACATTATTTGTTTAATTATTTTCTGAGAGTTTGAAATTTCTAAAGCTAAACAAACCAAAATTGATTAATTTGATTTGAAAATGTCAATTGTTTTTCTTATTTTAGTTATGAAATAAAATGTGTCAGTGTTTGTGTGCAACTACCAACTGTAAACTTCTGTTAATTTCCTGTTAATGTCTATACTATTTAAAAAATATGCACTTTTTACTAGACTTAATTATAATTTTCAAATCCATGCTTCAAATGCTCTACAATTGATATAAAATATTTCATTTTAATTATTCATTTCTAAATCATCTCATAAAGACATGGTTATGCAGAAATTAAGAAAATTTAGTCACTGGTTTGAAAAACCAGCAACTGAAAGATAATGCTAGTCTGTAAACATTTTTGTTGGTCTATTTACATAAACAAACAAAAAACAAAGCAACATACTATCATTTACATCAATTATTTCTCCATGGGCCCACTAATATTTATTTTATGGTAGTCTGGATTAAATTTTAGTTGCCCGAGATCAACGGAAACTGTAAGATATTATTACATCACTCTTAAAACTTATATACTGCATCACTTATTTATCCTTATAAATGTTAAGATTCTACTAAATACACAATAGTTGATGTACATTACAATTTTAAGCCTTTAAGGATTTTTTTTCCATCAAATCATTAAACTAATAAAGAAAAAAGTTTCTTTTGTGGTTCTGTTGAGTGCATGGCATCTGAGTTGTGAAGGTCATATTACTGGTTTGATAATTTAAGAAAACCCTAAACAACTATTTTAATATTTTATTATGCTTGTAACTGTTTGCAGACTGTGTTTAACTTAATACAATAAGCTCCTGGCAGTTTAAAAAAAAATCGAATATATATTTTTTGACTATATAAGAGTGAGGAACCTAAGCAAACACTGTCCAAATGAAAAATTAAGTTATAGTTAGAATTAGAGTTATGAATTCAATTTGTTAGAAAATTGACTATGTTTAATATATTTCTCTTTTAGTATCCTTTTAGGAGAAGATGGTCACATTTGCCTCACTGATTTTGGTCTGTGTAAAGAATCGTTAAACAACGAAAAGGCTTTTTCTTTTTGTGGTACTGTTGAGTACATGGCACCCGAGGTTGTGAGTCGTAAAGGTCATACTACGGCTGCTGATTGGTGGTCATTTGGAGTATTAATGGTAAGGTAACATTTCCCTTTAATGATAACTTTTTATAATGGTATGTAATAGTTATTACCAAAATAGTTTCTGTTATTAATTGTTTATTGCAGTTTGAAATGCTAACTGGGTCACTTCCTTTCCACTCCTCAAATAAAAAACAGACTATGGATCAGATATTAAAGTAAGTTCGGATTAAATTTAAATAACGGGTATATATTGTTTTCATAGTTTATTTTTAACTCAATTATATTATTTTTGTATATAATTTAGAGCTAGATTACAGATGCCTTATTACCTTAGTGAACCTGCTCAAAGTTTGCTACGCTGCCTATTCAAGCGCAATCCAGACAATAGATTATGTAAGAATTAATGTTTCCTTTTTTAAATGTTTATTTGTTTGTTTGTTTTTTTTTTTCGAAATTTACTAATTTCATATTTTTTCAGCAACTGGTCCTGAAATGCGAAAACATTGTTTCTTTGCTGCCATCGATTTTGTTAAACTGTATGCAAAGGAAGTTAAACCACCATTTATACCAGCTGCTCCTCCGAATATATGTGAAAGAACTACGCAGGAAGTTAATGCCGGTAAATTACACTTTTCATCCATAAGATAATTAACTGTTTTTAAACAATAATTTTATATGTATTGAAAAATCTTTGAATTGTATTAAGAAATCTTTTAGACGTCTTACTGAAATAAATAAATTGGATTTGGCTTAAAAAAAGCATTAAATAATTCTTTGAAGATTTGAAAAGAAATGAAAACTTAACTATATTGATCAATGATATAGGATAAAATTGTAATGTTTTTGAATTAATAAATTTCTGTAACTCGATAATTAAAATGTTTAATTGTGATTGCATTGTGTTCATATAAAACACTGTTAGAACAAGTAAGTGAAAACATTGTTTTGTTACTTACAATAAGGAAATTGAATTTAATTTGCTGTAATTTTGTTTCCTTCATTGGTTAATTTTTAAATAGTAAATAATTTTCAATATATATTAAAATTAATGTGATTTTTATATACATTCCATGCACAGTACGCCAAAAAAAAGAACCACCCTGAATAACTTTTGATCTAATGATCTGATCTTCACATTCTAGGATGCATTCTTAATGGTTCAAGTGGGTGACCTCAATATGCTATTTAAATAATGCAGATAATATTTTAAGTTACGAAATCATATTCAAGAACGTACTTTCTCTATATAAACTTACCTTTTTTTCCAACGAATTCGGATTTCTGACCCCCAAAACATAAGGGGTAGCCACAATTCGGAAAATATGGTCCCCGTATTTGTGTCAGAAGAGCGATCAGAGGTGATGAATGTTAATTTTATTTTTGTGTTTTTGTCATATCTCGATAACTTCTTAATCAAATTGAAGGATTTTTGCTCACAATTATAAAAAAAATTTTATTCAAAGGTAATTCCATGCACAAAAAAAAAATTTTAGAAAATATTTATTTTTTTATTTAATAATAGTCAAAAAATTATGAATTGTATAAGATATACAAGTTTTTGCATCATTTTAAAGAATAAAATTTTAAATGACAAAATACAAAGTTTGAACAAAATCAGGGGAACAATTTATAGGAAATTTATTTTATAACTATCTGTTTTTTATAACTTATGTATTTTATATGTATTATATAACTTATTATATGTATTTTATAACTTATACTTTTATAACTTATATATTTTTAACTATATGACTTTTTTAAAATTCGATTTTGCAGAAGCTATTTGACCAACTTTGCCATGTAAAATTAAATACTTTTAAATGATGAAAAAAATTTTACACCCTACAATTCAAATTTTTTTAACTATTATTAAAAAAGGTAATAAATATTTACAAAAATTTATTTCTTTGCCTGAAATTATCTTTGTATAAATGAATTATAAAATTTTATGCAAAAGTTTTTTATTTTGTTGGAAAAGTTCTCGAGACACCCAAAGTATACCTCCTATATTTTGGGTGTCAGCAATCCGAATCCATCAATAGGAAGGTATGATTATTCTGAGAAAGTAAGTTTTTTTGTCTTGTTTTGTAACTCAAAATATTGTCTGCGATAATTAATTAGCATAGTTAAGGTCACCCCCTCGAACCATTTAGATTGAGTCCTAGAATGTGAAGATTGAATCATTAGATCAAAAGCTATTCAGGGCAATCTGTTTTTTATTTTGCATACTGTACATGTATGTGTGTTAGAAAGTGTTTAAAGATAGCGTCTAAAGTGTGTGGTAAAATACAACATAATGGCCTTAATCTTATTAAACTTCAATGTAACTAATTTGTTTAAATATTATGTTTAAAACTACAGCTCTTTAAATCTAATTATTTTATTTATATCATTATAAAAAAGTAAACAAAAACCCTTAACATATTTCCTTGTTTTAAATTCAAGATTATTTGTAAAGATAGTTTCAATTTGTACTCTTACCATCAAATAAATAAAATAATTGGTGTTACTGGTTTAAAAATATGCTTCTAAAAAGGAAAATTTAAATTTTTAAAATTTATATTAACTTTTATAAACTCTGAAAACTAATCTGATTCATTCTAAAAATTTCACTGTAGTTTATAACGTTTTAAAAATATTTATACTTTTCTTCACAATTTTTAATGTATTTGATATGTAACTTTTGTATATTGTATGGTATATTACAAGGTGTCAAAAAATTATCCAACAATTTTTAAAATTGAAGAAATTTTGAAGAAGATTTCATATTGGAATTTTATTGATAGCTTTCATTTGTTTTCTGTACCTGAATTTATTCCAATGCTGTTTTCAAAATTAAAAGGAGATTGTACTAAATAATTGTGCAGATAGCGATGTACTTAGTAGTTTCGCAGATAGCGTTATTTTGCTCCCTGAACTGGAATATTTGTTCTCACTGTATTTCAAAACTGGCTACAAGTTTATCAACAGATGGTGCTGCCAAGTGTAGTAAATTATAAAACTGTGGTGATGTTCAGTTCATCACCACACACATTAAGATAAGAATACAAATGAATAACAATTAAAAATAATATACTCTTAAGGAAGATAACAAGATCATTAGAATGATCACTAATTACAAGGTGTTAAAACTATTTATTTAATATAGATCATTTAAGATATTTAGAGTTACAAATTTTGTTCCAGGAAGGCATTCATTCCAATTAATAATAGGTACATAAAAATTTTAACATGAAATTATACATTATGAAGCTGCACTGCTAATTAATAAATAAATAAATAAATAATTATGGGGTGATAGAAAATTTTATAATGTAACTTAGCTGTTGAGGGTCCTCATATCTTTGTATCTTCTCCTCAGCTCTCCAAAACCATGTGTGTCATTTCCTTTTTTCTCACCTCCTCTAACCAAGCCCCCAAAGCATACTCAACTCTTATTGGCTGTTACCACCATCACAAAATAAGTAGGGCTATACTTGCTATTTCTTTTTTATTTTTGGCTAAATTATTTAAGGGCAGGTGAAAACTTATGAAAGAGAAATAAAACTTTAAAGTAATTATAGCAATGCAGCAAAGATAAAAGTAACAAAACATCATAAAAGCAATACCACAAAACAATGTGTTTTGCAATATGTCAGACCATTGCTACTGAAATCTTTGCTTGGGTTTCTGTTAATTTTGTCTTCAGACTGCACCACATTGTTGTTAATTTGAAGGTATCTTTTTTTATAATTTCTTGCTTAACATCATGCTTTGTAGACACACTTTGTGTTATCGGTTTTAAAATTAGTGATAAGATGGTTATTTTAACAGAACACAGCAGACTCTACATTTCTATCTCAATTCAGTATTCATTTTTCAGATCATCATTAATTTTTAGTACCTCTTGTAAACCTTTGTGGTAAATATTGAAAAAAAGACAATTCTTATTTTGTAACTCATAATTTTATAACTTATGAAATTATATTTCAGATTCTCCTGGTGTACCAGCTAGTGCTACTGCTCATGAATTGTTTAGAGGTTTTAGCTATATTGAGAGTAACTTGTTTGATGGACATGAAGTTTCCAATATTTATAACAGAGTATGTATTTTATATATCCTGGTTGATGTATCTGTCATCTAATTACAATGAAAAATGTATATTGAAGTATTTTACATTTTTAGATATAACATTAATCATTTGAAGATTTATGTAATGTAAATTCAAGTTATATCATTAGTTTCGTTTAAATGCAAAGAGTTTATGTAACTGATGTACTTAAGATATTTTATCTTTTGCTTACTTAGTAAATTAATATCATTCACTGTAACTAAATTTCATAAAGTATTAACTTAGTCATAAATTATTAGCAATTTTTTTTTAAAAAAAAGAGGATGTTATAAGGACTATTCAAATGAAAAGTAGACACAACAGTGTCAGAAATTCTGCATTAACAGTGCAAGAGTGGTAATTACATTTATTCATTTTATCTACATCACCTATAGATTCATTGAAAATCACTGTCGCTTGCTTGCACTGGTCTTGTAAGTTTTGATATTGATGTCTGTCCTTCACAAAAACTTTTACACCATTTTCTCACAACTTTTTGTTTTAGACGGTTCTTACCAGTAACAGTTATCATTCAACAATTACATTACAATAGCATTACATAAAGCTATTGTTTGGCTATGGGATCATCCACTTATAGCACAATTTTATATTTATTTTAAAGCCCTAAAATAAATTTACTAGATAGTTGTATAAAATATAAGATGCACTTTATAACCCTTTATGGTGATGCTATAATCACTGTTTTTTTACGTCACAATTACACTGATGGACTTTTTATTTGGGCAACCTTTATATTTAGAAGAGTATAAAAAATGTTGTTTTAGCCATTGCTATTACTTTTAGAATTTAAGTTTTAACTCACCCCAGCAGATAAACCTTAGAATATTTTATGTAAGAAACTTTAGGTGAACTACAAACTTCAGCCATCTTAATCAAAGTTAATACTAGTAAATCAAATAAACTAGTCTAATCTAATAAATGGTGTAGTTTAATAGTAAAATTTTAATATGTACTTCTGAAAATGTTAAGGAAATAATCTCACTCTATTTATTAGGTTGAATTGCAATTGTGTAAGACTTCTTTTTCAAAGGAATATAAAACACTGGAACCTATTGGAATGGGAGGTTTTTCAATATGCAAAAAATGTATACACATATCTACTGGAAAATTATTTGCTGTTAAAGTAAGTGTTTTGTTTAATTTCTTCTTAAGTAAAATTGTTTAATCGCTCTAATATCTTACTCTTTAATTTTTCTATGTAAACGCATTTTCATATATACTTTTTAATATCATACTGTGAAACCTCTCGCAAGAAAGACCACCTCTATGTAGCAACCATCTCTATTTGCGACCACTTTTGGGAGGCACAGACTTTTTTCTATAGACCTTGTGTTGAAGAAAACCTTTAGGAGAGACCATTGAAGCCTCTCTTAATGACCAGGAAAACATTTGCACCAAATGCGGAAAAAGTCAAATAAGGAAACTCTAAAAAATATCCAAAAAAAATTTAACAAAACAAATAAGTGAATTAAAATGTAATCAAAATATTTGTGTGAGGCTCTTATTTAAAGAGCTCTTTTTGACGATACAACCTCATGTTGCATTCAGAGTATACTAAGGATGCTGCTGTCAATGATTTACTTTTAGAGGCGAAAGTTAAATTTGAAAAAATATATATTTTTAGAAAAAACAAGCATCTCAGATAATCAAACCTTTTCTCATCTTTTAAAGCTAATTTTTATGATATTGAATTAAATGCAAACTTAAACAAAAAACGTAACTGCTTTATTTATTTAAAATAGCTTCATCATTCATAATTGGTAAATTTGTTTTTACACATAATTATATCAGTTGGGATCATTTTTATAGACCCTTATAACTTTTAATCATCAATTCTTCAATTCATGACCTCAACAGAAGAAGCATTTTTGCACCAACAAAATGGCACTGACTAAAATTGAAATCATTTGCAAAAAATTCATGTGCCTTCTGTTATAGTGTTAAAAATATTATTTATTTTAATAGGGTGTTTAAGATTAGATCTTAGTGAATAAATATGGGAAAGTTTAAAGAATAATATTATATTGGAATTTTTAAAGAATAAAAATGAAAAAGATCTTAATTTAAATCGAAATCGACCTAAATTTTAGGGAAAATGTTAAAAAAGATATAGTAAGGGCTCGTGATCGTAAGTAATAAATTTAGTGGTTGGTACAGAGAGTCATGCACAATAACCCTCATAGGCTCTTGTCGATCATTTTAGGGAGAAATAAAAGGAAGGTATTAATAAAGAAGTAGTAAAAAGAAAATAAAAAAGAAGGAAATGATGTATAACAATAATTTTAAAAAAATGAGAGGGAGGGTAAAAGACAAAGAGGGAACAAATATATATATAAATGCAGACGCGTAATGAAAAGAAGTACAAGTATTTTAAAAATAATGATATAAATAACTACTGAGGTTGTGCTCTGGAAAAAAAAAAGAATCAAAATGTAAAGAAAATGAGTTACTCAGCCATAACATTGAGCAACCCTAAAGAGAAGTCAGGAAGAAAAATTTAATCATGTCTCAAAGTGAATACATACCAGAAGATGATGGGCAAAAACAACTTTTATTTTACAAAACATTACAGCAAAAATTAAAGCATATCTTTAACAATCGCATTGCGACCTTGCGTAAATCGATAGCACAAAATAAAATAAGAACTAAAAGAATAAAATTGGGGGGGGGGGAATGCTGAATCATCAAAAGAAAGAAAAAAGAAAGTCGAATTTCGTAACAACAGAAAAATTTCTAATTAAATTCACCAGGGTAAGAATTTATAAAAGGAAAATATGTATCTAAAAAAAAAAAAAAAGAGTCCCAGAGGTTTAATGTCTCGAAAAATGGTTGTGAAAAGTAGATTTTAAGGTAGGTTTGAGGAAATTGACCAATCAGGGAGAGCCCTAACTGCAAGAAGGGAAGCCCCATTAAATACAGGGTGGCCACTCACCTGGAAAACCTTGAAAACCTGGAATTATCAGGGAATTTTTTTTATACTGGAAAAAACCTGGAAAAATCAGGGATTTTTAAAGAAAAGCTGGAAATTTTTCTTTGATGATTTTTCAAATTTCACTAATTTAAATTATTTGCTAATTTNAGGATGTTATAAGGACTATTCAAATGAAAAGTAGACACAACAGTGTCAGAAATTCTGCATTAACAGTGCAAGAGTGGTAATTACATTTATTCATTTTATCTACATCACCTATAGATTCATTGAAAATCACTGTCGCTTGCTTGCCCTGGTCTTGTAAGTTCTGATATTGATGTCTGTCCTTCACGAAAACTTTTACACCATTTTTTCACAACTTTTTGTTCTAGACGGTTCTTACCAGTAACAGTTATCATTCGACAATAAATGTTAGCATTACTTAAAGCTATTGTTCGGCTATGGGATCATCCACTTATAGTACAATTTTATATTTATTTTAAAGCCTTGAAATAAATTTACTAGATAGTTGTATACAATCTAAGATGCACTTTATAACCCTTTATGGTGATGCCATAATCACTGTTTTTTTTACGTCACAATTATACTGATGGACTTTTTATTTGTATTTGGGCAACCTTTATATTTAGAAGAATGTAAAAAATTTTGTTTTAGCCGTTGCTATTACTTCTAGAATTTAAGTTTTAGCTCACCCCGGGCAGATAAACCTTAGAAAATTTTATGTAAGAAACTTAAGGTGAGCTACAAACCTCAACCATGTTAATCAAATAATCTTACTCTATTTATTAGGTTGAACTGCAATTGTGTAAGACTTCTTTTTCAAAGGAATATAAAACACTGGAACCCATTGGAATGGGAGGTTTTTCAATATGCAAAAAATGTATACACATATCTACTGGAAAATTATATGCTGTTAAAGTAAGTGTTTTGTTTAATTTCTTCTTAAGTAAAATTGTTTAATCGCTCTAATATTTTACTCTTTAATTTTTCTATGTAAACACATTTTCATTTACACTTTTTAATATCATACTGTGAAACTTCTCACAAGAAAGACCACCTCTATGTAGCAACCACTTTTGGGAGGCATAGAATTTTTTCCATAGTCCTTGTGTTGAAGAAAACCTTTAGGAGAGACCATTGAAACCTCTCTTAATGACCAGGAAAACGTCTGCACCAAATGCAGAAAAAAGTCAAATAAGGAAACTCGTAAAAATATAAAAAATGAGTAAGTTAAAATGTAATCAAAATATTTGTGTGAGGCTCTTATTTAAACAGCTCTTTTTGACGATACAACCTTATGTTGCATTCAGATAATGCTAAAGATGCTGCTATCGATGATTATTTTTTTTTAGTTAAAAGTTAAATTTGAAGAAGAAAAAAAAATTTTTTTAGAAAAAAACAAGCATCTTAAATGAACAAATCTCTTCTCACCTTTCGAAGCGAATTTTTGTGATATTGAATTAAATGCAAACTTAAACAAAAAATATAACTGCTTTATTTATTTAAAATAGCTTCATCATTCATAATTTGGTAAATTAGTTTTTACACATAATTGTATCAGTTGGGATAATTTTTATAGACGCAAACTTTTATTCATTGATCCTTCTTTTCATGACCTCAATAGAAGTGGCATTTTTGCGCCAACAAAATGGCGCTGATTGAAATTAAAATCATTTGCAAAAAAATCATGTACCTTCTGTTATAGTGTTAAATATATTATTTATTTTAATTGGGTGTTTAAGATTAGATCTTAGTGCATAAATATGGGAAAGTTTAAAGAATAATATTATATTGGAATGTTTAGAGAATAAAAATGAAAAGGATCGTAAGTTATAAAATTTTAGGGAAATGGTTAAAAAAAGATATAAGAAAGGCTTGTAATGGTAAGTAATAAATTTAGTGGTTGATACAGAGAGTTATGCACAATAACCGTCATAGGCTCTTGTCGGTCATTTTAGGGTGAAATAAAAGGAAGGTATTAATAAAGAAGTAGTAAAAAGAAAAGAAAAAAGAAGGAAATGATGTATAACAATAATAAAATGAAATAAGAAGCTTAAAACCAGAGGGAGGGTAAGAGACAAAGGGGGAACAAATATATGTATAATTACAGACGCGTAATGAAGAGAAGTACAAGTATTTTAAAAATAATGATACAAATAAGTACTGGGGTAGTGCTCTATAACAAACAGACAAAATGTAAAGAAAATGAGTTACTCGCCCATAATGTTGAGGAACACCTGAAGAGAAGTGAAGAAAAATTGAATCAAGACACAAGGTGAATACACGCCAGAAGATGATGGGCAAAAACAACTTTTATTTTACAAAACATTTCAACAAAAATTAAAATGGTTGTGAAAAGTAGATTTTAAGGTAGGATTGGGGGAATTGACCAGTCAGGGTGAGCCGTAACCGCAAGAAGGGAAACCCCATTAAATACAACAAGCTGGGGGAGAAAGGAGAAGAATGATGCAAAAAACCAATTGGATAAGGAGTCAAAGACTAAAACTTAATTGAAGGATAAATAAAATTAGATGGCGCTTAAAAGTTAAAAAAAGTTGGTAAATAGTTAAAATTAATTATAAAAAAATCATTAAGCTAAAAATTACAACAGGAAAGCAAATTAAAAAGTAATTACATCAATTTAAAGATTGAAGTAAAGAATAGGAAAACCATGTTTAAAAAAATGCCGCAGATCACTGTGACACCTTCGATAACAATTTTGAAATCAATGGAGGTAACCTTTAAGAACGACCAACCTCCATCATAGACCATTTTACTGTGGAACAGACTGATCGCACCCGAGAGGTTTCACTGTATTCAACTATATTTTAAAGACTCAGTTGTACTAAGATATGTCACTTATTCCTATTACTAATAGTTTATGTATGATACGTTTAAATATAATGAATTTAATATTTTATTAATATTTCTTCAAGAATTATTTTATTTTAAATTTATCATTAGACTAAACTCCATAATTTTTTTTATAATAACATTAATGAATAAATTAATATTTATATATTAATGTCATGGAAACTCAACATCGAAACTATGCATATTCAGCTATTTTTTATCAACCAGAACAGTTTTTTAAGCTAAATAAATAATGAAAACATTTGCCTACATATATGTTTATATTGTTTTGTAATTTTTTTTGTTTTGTTTAGGAGATAAATAAGAATGCGGTACAGAAATCCAATCTTAGCGATTGCACTGAAGAAATAGAAATTTTATTTCGTTACGGCAAGCATCCAAATATTGTTACTTTGTATGAAGTAAGTTTAAAAGAAATTTTAAAATATTTTATTTTATTATTTTATTTTATTATTTTTTCTTATTATTTCTAGTGTTTATTTGATAAAAACTAAATTGTTCTAACATGTATAGAATTTTATTGAAATTTGTTTCGGAAGGAGTTCAGAATTTTAGTTTCTGAAATTGAGTAGGAATCATATCTAAAAGACCGAAAATATCAAATGATTGATGCTTGAGTTTATAAGCAGCTCCATATCAATATCCTCTCTTTTTGACATCATTAAATGTTTTTTGTTACAACCCCAGTTTGACGAGTGCTGAAATTTCTTAAAAATTGTTCAACTTCAGAAACCTTTAGCCATCTATTTGCACTATTAAATATAAGTTTGGTGGATTTAGTTTGAATTATATCCCATTCCGGCCCCGGTTGAGATAAGCTGATTTGTTGGAGTCTGATTTCCTTGAAATTAATGAAAAGAATTGGAGATCAAAGATATAAATCTGAAATCGTTGTGGAGAAATCTTCTTTGGAAGCCATTGGCCCACATTGGGCTGCCTGGCCAACTATGATGATGATGTCCCATTCAGAAAAATTATAAAGACTCTTGAAAAAAATCATAAATATGCTGATGCAGCTGAAGAGAATGTCACGGACACTTATGTACCACAGCTGTCAGAAGTTTTAATCCTTCTCTATTACTATTTTAATGAATTAAAAACTTTTTGCTCTCATAAGACTTATTTATCTAAAGATAATTTCATACATAATATGATTTTTAGGATTATTTACTATTTAATTCTGATCAAAACATTTTGAATTGTAAGATACTACACATTTTTACACCATTTGAATTATTTAATTTTAAATGACAATACTCAAGATTTCATCTAAATAATTGATTGAATAGTTTCATAGTACTAAAAATTCCTATATAAAAAAAGTCATTTCTGAAAAACTGTTTAGAAAATTTCATTCAAAGTTTGAAATTTTGGGATGTGATTACACAATGTATAAATGTGTAACAACTATTTATGAAATATTTCATTATGTGATGAATACTTTGAAAAAAGGCATTTTATTAATGAATTCTTATCATTTTAATGACATAGGTGTTTGAAGATGAAAAAACTATTTATTTAGTTATGGAATTACTAAATGGTGGTGAATTGCTTGATAAGCTGGATAATCAGAACTTCTACAGTGAACGAGAAGCGAGTGCCATTTTTGAAATTATTGCCAAAACAGTTCTTTATTTACATGATAATATGGTAAGAGCTCATGAAAGGTTTGTGAAATTTATTTTTCTTATGTTTTAAACATTTAGTTTTTCTGTCCTACTTTTCCTCCAATTTTTTCTATTGGCTTATTCTTCTTATTTGAAGAACTTCGGCCAGACGAACTTGTTGTCTCATAGTTAAAAGTCTGAAAAAAATGTAGTTTACATTTTGACTCTCGGCATATCTGTTTCTATAAACATATTAAAATATCTCCCACTTGTTTTATTTTTACTAAACTTACTGGTTATATATGCATGAATATAAAAATTCTCTACAACTTTGTAGTTTAAAAAAATTTAATAAAGAAAACACCGTACTTTTTCTAAGGAATTTAGATTAGGAGCTCAGCAGTACTTGTCCTTTGGACAGTTTTCACTGGTCGTCCCTCCCTGTTTGAGTATAGCCATGATACTGTGCAACAATGTCCAAAATAAATGTTAATTTTATTTAATGAATTCTAATGTTTTTGGTTTTAAAACTTTATTTTATTACAATTGAATTTGTTTTAAAACTGGCTAAGAATAATTTACTTTTGGAATTAATGTTTTTAAAATAGTATTTTTGACTTGATTTTAAATATTTTGTAGTAACTATTGATTGAAAGAAAGTTAAATGTAGGCTTTTTTGTGTTTTAGGTTGTCCATAGGGATTTAAACCCCTCTAACATAATGTATGCAAATAGTGACCCACAATCATTACGCATAATTGATTTTGGATTTGCCAAGCAAATGAAAGCAGAGAATGGACTGTTGATGACACCTTGTTATACTCTCAATTTCGCTGCACCAGAAGTTTTAAAGAGAAAAGGATATGGTGAAGCTTGTGATGTTTGGAGTATGGGTGTTATGTTGAGCATAATGCTTACAGGGTATGTTGTTTTCCTTAGTAAACAGAAGTAATGTAACTAAAACGTTTTTATACTTTTGCTTTATATTAGTTTAATTAAATAAGATAAAAATTTCTTTTAACATGAGGATTTTAAACTTAGCAAGGGAAACTGATATCATGTGTATGTCAGTTATTTGACATGAAACTGACACTTACTTTAGAGCACATATTGTTTTGCTCTTGTTTGTTTATTTCTTAATTGTCGAAAAAAATTTGGATAGTAATTGAAAATTTTCTAAAATTAGCGAGAAAGAAAATTTTGAATTGTAAAGTTATTATTAATGGCTCTCTTAAATTTTGTCAATGTTGTTATAATATTATAATGTGATTGCTGATTTCAGCCACTATAACTAATTTTATCCTTTTATAGATAAAATTATTTTTTGAAAATAAATAATAAGTACTTTGGTTGAATTTTAGCACAGTAAAAAAAATAATACATTTTAAAAGTCTTCACTGTATCTAACATACCTGTCAAAGGTGGTTATTACTTTAATAAACAATTTCGTAGACAATATTTTGCTAAATGATATTTTTTTAATTAGTTTTTATTTAGACAAATACTAGGACAAGTATTTCATCTTCTACAAAACAAAAATTGACCCGCAATAAAATTTTTCTACTTTTTTTTTAAACAAAGATTTGAGTTAGTCACTGGAAAGAGATTTTATTTTTCCCTAAAAATTCTTTTTTATTGAAAAGTCAGCTTTAGCAAACTTCTTTATCAATTAAAATCTTTATTTCAATCCAATTTTTTCAAAGTATTTCTTATTGAGTAGTATAATTTATCTACTCGCAATTTTCATACTTAAGCATCTTGCATTTATGATTTTACTCCTGAAATGATATTTTATGATTGTTTTCTTTAGAAATGCTGATACACTGTAAATTGTAAAATCCTCAAAAAAGTAAAAGTTGTCATGTGCATTTTTGCTACAAATCACAGCATTATATTTGAACTATATATTTTTCAGGAATGCTTGATCTTTTTTCTTTTTTTTTTTTCGCTTTACTAATCTTTAAAATTAAATATCCATCTTTAAAAATTTAAGATTTTAAAATTAGGCTGGAAAAAAATATAATTTAAAAGCATTATTTTCACAAAAAAACAGTTAATTTGCATATTGTTATAAAAGTATTTTTAGAGAATATTTTATTTTATTACCGTCATTGAACAACCAACCCAGCTTTGGGTTTTCGACTACTAATTTTCAACACCATAGCCTTGTAATTTTGAACCCAATCCAGAAACACCTGAATCAAGTATTGGGATAAGTTTGCCTTTGTGGAGGACCTTTTGATGGAACTAACTGGCATTTGCAGTACATGAAAAGGAAAACTCCAACCCATGATGCATGAGCCGAGTGCGAAATTCATATCAACCATCCATCGCTGGGGTCGAATCCTAGCGATGGTCTAATGATTGATCACCTCATTGGAATTCGAACACTCTATCTCTGGAGCCACTCTGGCTCTTTTAGAGAGTATTGTAATGAAGTATTTATTAGTAAGTTTATCAAAGAAGACAAAAATATAAAAGAGTAATCGAAAATGATATGCATAGAAGAGACATTGGCTTGTATTTTTGTATTCAATTTTTCAATAAAATGTGGAGGAACTCTAAGTCGTCCATCATCAACTTTTGTCACGTAACCAGATAGAAAACACAAGAAATAAAATCTGAATTGCCAGCTTTGTAAATGTAAAAATTCCCATAAATCACGTTTGGAGTTATCATGAAGGCCATATCTTCTGCCTCTGTGGTCATTTCTCCCATTGAAGTCCTAATTTAAGCATAAATCTCTCTAAAATTGGCAGCTGATTATCCTTTACACCAGTAGTTTTAATTTTTTTTTTCAGTTATGGGACATTAAATAATTGAACTTTTTTCAGCAAATATACTTTATAAATAATCAAGTATGTAAAAACAGTTGTGAGTATATTGACCTATAAAAGTCTACCTTATTTTGAAAATATTTAATAAGAAGAATGAAATTTTTCATTCCTATACTTAGGTTTTCTATCTTACAGTTGAATTCACATTCCTGGATCTAATTTAGTTTTAAATTTATTTTGGGGATTTACATATGAAAATGAACCAAATAAATCAAATTGCTTATTGAACCCCCTTTTACCCTTCCACCAAACACCATTTAGGAACTGTTGCCCTACAAAACCTATTTGTAGAAACTTAAACTATTGTCCACTTAAAGATAGAGTTTTGATTGGTGGTGAGCTTTGTACTTTTTTAAGGTTGAAAGTCATGCATTGTATAAATCTCCTCAAAACTCTTGTTCATGCCTGAATATTGTGTTTCTTGAAACTAAACGAAGCAAAGACGAAATCTTAAAAAAATCTTTTTTGTACTATATCAAGTAATTTTTGAATTTCAAGATGTAGCAATCTTTGTTTTTGTTAATGTTAAAGATTACTTTTTATGAATTTCTTGCTTTTTCATAAAAAATTTTGTGATTTGCGGGTGAGATACTGTTTTAGAATAATGCATTCATGTGTAAAAATTATCATTACTTTTTCTATATCCTTGAACAAAACAACAGAAAATTTAAATTAACATTATTTTGTGCCACAGAGCTTATACCAGATTAAATTTTGACATACAATTTGGCAAATCATATGCAGAAATTTAATCTGGCATATTTGTTTATAGTATCAAAATCGATTTACTTTATTAGTTTTTATTTGTATTTCTTATTGTTTTCTGTACTATTATCTGTGTATTAATTTAAGAAAATTAAATTATAATTTTGGGTAATATCGAATTAAGGTTATTGGGAAAAAAATTTAACAAAGTATTTTTAATAATTAAAATTTTTTTAGGTGCACTCCTTTTGTTAAAGGACCAAATGAAGATATGAACACAATTTTGCCAAGAATAGAGCAGGGACAAATTAGTATGAGTACTGGTAACTGGAAAAACATATCATTTATAGCAAAGGTAACAATAGTTGTAGCCGTTAACTTTACCCTATATTGTATTTCATGTGAATTTTATTACAAATAATTCATTTTTATCACCATTAGTGATAAAGCTCTTGAAGGACCCTAATCTAATTTAAGACTTTTCTCTATTATCCACAATCAGTTATATTTTTTTAGTGAAACTCTCAGTCTCTTCATATTTTCCTCATCTTGATCTTTTCATCATGTTCTGCTTAAATTCAGTCTCTTTGCCTGACCTATCCTTTTTTTTTAGGCTTCTTTTTCATTATAAGAATATTTGATTCCTTATGACATTCAAAGATTTGTTTTTATTAATTTTATTTGGCAGCAGTTCTATTTAATTCCTAAAGAAAAATGTTGTTCATTTTACAATTGTAGCTCATTCTGCTCTTAATATTTTTCTCTTAACTTTGAGAATGTTAAAAGTTTGAATACAATAGAATACAGATAAATTATTAAGCATGCTAATCCAAATTAAACATATTAACTAGTATCACAATAGGACAGCGTAAGAACTAATGTTGAGATATGAAGTTTAGACTGGATTGAAAGAAGAGTTTAATAGCTCAAGACTGAAGCACGTTAAATCTGTCGAGTTGCAAAACCCTCCATGTTCCCATAAGAAATCAATACCGCTGGGGGTACTAAATTGGAGATTGATCATTGTCTGATTCAGGTCAAAATTACGATCTATGGGTGTATGAATGAGTCTGCCTTATCAACGGGTGTGGCAGAAGTCGAATTCTTGGCCATAGATGTCGCCATTGGAAAACAAGAACAATCGCACCTCTCTGCCTTAACAGGCATACAGAGAGAAAGTAGCTCAAGAGACAGAATTAGGTGTACTGCGCCAAACTTAAACAAAATTAAATCTCCTTAGAAGATATTCAAAAGAAAGACAGATAAATCATGTTAATAAAAGTTTGAAGTAGTTTAAAAATCCTACTAATTCTGAGTGGTTTGTAGTTTGTATTCAACATCAAACAGTGTACAATAACAGTCTCTTTGATTAATCTGTATTGTGTGTAAAAAACCTGATAGATTGCTTTTATTTTGAATTACTATGAAGTTGTATTAAGAGAAAAATTTGATATAAACTATTTTTTTAAAACTGTGCAGTTAAAGTGTTAAAATTAGCTATAGGAAAATTACTGAATTTCCTGATATTTTTATAATGTATGATTACACTCATGCATCATTAAAGCCGGTTACATTCTCTCCTTGAAGATTGTAAATGGTGGATATTTTTTTTGTATTGCAAAAAGGACAAGATTGTTCTCCTTTGTAAATGGCCACTGTATATATGATATGAAAAATTATTAATAGTTAAATTAAGTTTTTTGTTGAGATTCTGATGTTTGAAAAAATATTATTAATTTAAAATAAAAAATTTTTATATTTTAGGAATTAATCCGAAGAATGCTAATTACAGATCCTAAATCAAGGTTCACCCTGTCGGATGTTTTGAACCATGATTTTATTCGAGCTAGACATCTTTTGCCTGAAACACGAATTACTCTAGGAGATATTGCTGCAGTTAAGGTGAATTTTTATTGTTATTTTATTAAGTGATTAGTTTAATTGTTGGAAAAATTTAGCATCGTTACTTGAAGGTGTATTTAGTTTTATTTCTTTTAGTTATTCACAGGGTTTGTATGTGCCTTACAAGTACTTGAGTACTTAATTTTGCTGAAAAATAGTTGAGCAACTAAATCCTTATTTTGTGTTAAAGGTGCTTAAAAGTTCATGCATTTTTTTCGAAGAAAAAGTATGTAAGAAAGTTTACATTTTATTACTTTAAAAATAAAAATTCTGAATTTTTTTTATTTATTTGATGTCACGACATATGAATTTAAAATTTGAGTTATTTTTTTATGCGGTCGATTTCATTGTAAATCAACATCAGTTTGCGATTGTTTTTTTTAGACATTTCACCTGGCTTTTGGAATTTCAATGTTTTTAATTAGTACGATGTTATTTAGGCGTGATTTTCAGATTTGAGAAATGAGTATTTGTTTATTCAAAGCACGGTTTTGGGCACTTTTGATTTTATCATGATTTCACAGTGGTTTTTTTTACTATTTCCACTTTTTTTTTTTCAACTTGTTTATTAACACGTTTGTCTCAGAAGGATTCTAATTTCACACTGTACAATGGTAGTTATTCTTTGGCCCCAAATTTCGTTATTTTTATTGCACTGTTATTATGGAACAAGAGTTTCAAGTTTAACTTATCACTTTTTGAGGCTTCTGATTCACTTCAATTCAATATTGAATCCATGTCATTTTCTTATTGTTTTTTCATCCATTTCAACATATATGATAGTCTTTTAGGCAGATAATAATAGTTTTTACACATTGATTTTAACACAATTACAATGTTGTAACAAAATGCAAATTTTAAATTTGAATATTTTTCGATGCCCTTTATTCTATTTTAAATCCACAGTTTCTTGATCATTCTTAGAGACATTACCTTGTGGTTTTTCAAATTCCAATATTTTTATAATTGCGATGTCATTACGACACGCTAATTTGAGATTTGAGTAACAACTATTTTTTAATGATTTATTTACAAATCACTTTTGGACTTGTTTATATTTCGTGATTCCACTGCATTTTTTTTTTCTACTTAATTTATTTTTTTTAATGCATTGAGTTAGAAAGGATTTCATAAAAATTTCACGCTTTGTGGTGATAATTTTTTGGGCCCTTTTCCCATGGGTTTTCAAACTCTGATATTTTTAATATATTATTAGAACTTGCAAATTTTAAATTTTAGTTATCACTTTTTTCATGCTTTATCCCAAGTTCGTGTTTTCCAATTGCTCTTTCCTCCATTTCAATAGTCTTCTAGGTTCCGATATTTTAAATTAATACAATGTTAATACGACGCACGAGTGTTGAATTTAAGTAATTATTATTTGTAAATATTTCTTTCAAAAATCACTTGTTGTCACTCTCAATTCCATCATGATTCCAAGTTTGCTTTTTTATTTGACCCTTTTGACTTAATATTATGTTTTTAAAATGTTGTAAGAAAAAGTAAGTTACAGAAACTATTAAGTGGAATGCGAATTTCATGTTTAAGAAGGCATTTGTTTGGCTAATAAAATTACTCATTTGTGTTTTTTGCTTTAAAAGCAGGAAAATAAAATGCCTCAGTTTATAAGTGTAACATAGTTGACAAAAAATTCTTTTAAAATCTTTTTTTCTTTCCCTCAAAAATATTTATATACTTATGTATATAAATAAGTTCTTCTAAGGAGGAAAACTTCTCTTCTAAATAACACAAAAAATTTTAAAGGGTTTTAACCTTTGTAAGTCAGAGAAAGAGGATGTAAAATTGAATTTTTAAGTAATATATGATTATGAGCACCTTTATTATGAATTATTCTGTATTTAATAAGTGTATAAAGGAAGAGATGAAGCAAATTTGTGATTTGTTGCTTAGTGAATTGACAAATCAGCAATGTTGTGTCTCTAAGTCACTTTATAAATAGATGCAAATTCACTAAAATTGGCAAGAAGATTATGAGGTATTTTTAACAGCCACATTAAATTATTTTTATTATTTATTGAAATAAAGTAAAAATAAACTACCAAATGGAGAGAGTTTTAAATTCTTGCTTCAAATTGATTCTTGCCAATGTTTTGTTTTTATTTATTCATTTATTTTATTTTTTTAATTTCTATAGGATGGGGCCAAAATAACTTATGAAGCAAAGAACATTGAACAGAATAAAATGATCAAATTGCTACCTGTTACAGAATCTGAACTAGCTCAAAGAAGAAGAATGAAACAAAGTGTTGTTTAAGTGCCATAATTTTATCTTTTTATTTTACAAAAAAGTGTCCGAAATGCTGCCATTAAAAAAAATAGAAAGAATAATACAAAAAAATAATTCTTTCATTTTTTTACGAAATATTCCTATATTAATTTTTCCGGTATTTTAAATTTGAAATGTTTTAGTCATATTGATTCAGATTTTTTCTTCTTTTTTTCACTTTGAAGTATGTGTTAATTAGTACTAGATTTGTTACTTTTAATCCCAAACATTTAAATGTTTTGTCGTTTTTTTTCTTGTGTATAGTTGAAATATTGTTCATGGTCTATTTAGACATTTTTATATGTTACACTTTTGTAAAAAAAAATTAGAAATAATAATATTAAGACATTTAAAAAATGAAGTTTTGTATTTATACATGGGTAACAGCTGTTACCTATATGTAGATAATTTTTATGTTTGCTTTTTTCTTCATTATTTTATACATTAAAAATAAATTTTGAATTAGGAAATACTTTATTAAAATTTGAAAATCTAAAACTAATTTGTACATAATTCTTTCTTATGACATTAAAAATTATAATTTTAAGAATAAATTAATTACGATTCTTAGATCCATAACTTTGAATTTTATAATATTTATTTCGGTTCTTTTAAATATTCTATATTAAATATTCCAAATTTTTTTTACACAAAATTTAATTTATTTCGTAATCAGTATTAAAAAATTTAATGTCTTTGTTTTGCAGTATTTCCTATTTTTATACATTATTTCTTTTTTTAAAGTTTTTTTTTATTGAAAAGGAACCAGAATTTTCACTTTTACAATAAAAATAGATTTAAAAGCATATTATACTATATTATGGATGCATTTATATTAGGCATTTAAAAAATATATTTATTCAACGAATTTTCCTAAAGTATTTTTGTACTGATGAGTAAAGTAATTTTCAAATTTTATATTTATAAATAAGCTAGTAGTAGAAAAATAATAGATAACTGAAAAATTATCTTTATAGTTGAGCTTCATATATTATCAATTCTGCTATACACTTTTAAAATAATTAATATACTATCTGTTTAGTTAATAAAAATTAAGACAATAATTAATCATTTATTCTTAAATGATGTTCTTGTCAGATGAACAATTTTTGTTAGTGATGTAAGATGAACAAACCAGTCTTCAGTATATCTGTCTACTATTTTGTCTATGAATGCACGTTTTTAATTTTTTGATGTCAAATCATCATTCCATTATTTACTATATTGATTAGATTTTATGAATTGTTGATAAATGTTTTGTCTTTTTTCCCCCCTAAGTCTGTGATAGTTCATTCTTAATTGTGTCCCAATTGATGTTGAAGGTTTTTCTTATGAGTATGTAATACTTAATTGTGTTCGTTAATATGTATGTTTGCTTGTCATTTATTGTTGAATGAACTATAATAATTAAGATTGTGTTTTATATACTTTTTATTATACATATTGTGCCAAGCATTGTTCTGGTCCACCAAAATTAAGTCAACAATCTTGAAAATATACTTGTTTCTGCATTTAGTGTATAATATGTGACCTTAAAGTAAGTACTAAATTTGTAAACTTTTGCTGTAAAATTCTTATTTTAAGATTTACTTATGTGTGTCAAAGGTATGAAATTTCAGATTGTTGATGGTTTGGTGTCATTTCTGTATTCTGTAATGGTATTGTGTTTTTATATTTATTGTATTCATATATTTTGTGTCTGTATTATATTTCTTTTTATGTTACACTTAAGCTTAAATGTCTCAATTGAATGTGTATTTTATTATAAGAGAGGACATTCAGAAATAAATAAGACTAAACTAAAATGTGCTTGTTGCATTGTAAGTAAAATGCTCTCTATAAAAATTTGTGATTAATTTATTATTGTGTGTAAAACTAAATCTTAGATTCAAAAAGTTGCTCAATTTACTCCTTTGCTCTCTATCTCTGCATTTAGAAATATTAACAGAAATTAACACTTTTAATAATGTGTAATTTAAAAATAATTTCATTTAAAGAAAATTCAACACACTCTATGAAAATAATTGAATATATATATATAATGTATGTATGCCAAAAAATAATTTTATGAAACTTTCAGAAATAACTTGCATAATGACTATTTAAAAATCTAGACTAAAATAAAAGGCTAATTAAAACATTTTTGAAAAGGAACTATGATAATGCATAATTTAGAAGTTATTCCAGTAAACAAAAATTTCATAACTGAAATAAGATAAAAAATGAAAACAATTCTTATATAAGTTTTTTCTTTAGGAAAAGAACTTGTATAATGACTGATTAAAAATCTAATCTGTGTAACTTGCATATTTAGTTATCAGTAAATTGCTTAAATTTACTTGAGCTTATTTAAAAAAAAGTACTGAGCTTTAAATTCATAGAGGATATTATCATTAAATTGTAACTAATATTTTTAGCAATGGAAGCAAAATACTTATCTCTTAACGCATATTGAAATATCCCTTATGTAATATGAATTTAATTAGGATTATGTGGCATTGTTAAAATTAAAATCTCTATTATTGTAACTTTATATGAATATATAGACACTAGATCATGGGAGCCTCTGGGTAAGTTTCCCACCGTACTTTGTTTCCAGTATAGTAAACAATATACCAATGTCTATTACAGCTTCTGGCATTCTGTAATGTATAGTTCTGAAATAATTACTTTTTTAATGTTTAAAGAATACAAAATTTAAGTACATAAAAACCTATTTACACATACAAATATTCCTGATAATTCCCTATATCCCCTTATTTTTATGTTGATGGCTGCTAAGCCTGAAAGTACTTATTTCTTGTAGCTTTTTCCTTGTAAAGATTTCTAAATGCCTGTTAAAGTTCAAATTTTTCAGATGGAATGCATTATTTCTTTGCCTTATAAATAACACTGATTTTGATTGCAGTATGTAACAAAAGGACACCATATTTTAATTTGTAAATATTAATTTACAAGAATAATGAATGCTATTTAATAAAATTGATATGGAACTGAATAAAAGTTCTAATTTCCATGTTAAAGATTGCCAAACTTTTAGTATAATTTGATGGTTTTTAATTAAGGTGTTTGTTTGTAACTTATTTGTGGGGGTCCTTTTTAAAATTTTAGAACGTTTTATTTCTCAACACACAGTCTGAGAACAGAGAGTTTGAAAATATGGAAATATTTATTTACGAATTTTCGTTTTAAATTAAAACTATTCCTTTACAAACATTCTTAATTTTTCTTTTTAAAGAAATTGAAATTTTTAAAAAAAATCATTTTCATTGCTTCGTTTCTATTGTTTATTTGTGTTAAAACTGTTTAATAAAGCAATTTTTTTTCCTAGTAATGTAGGTTTTTTAAATGTTATAAGAATTTGTTTAATTATTAATAATCTCAACTCACATTCTACATTATAATTGTATATGATGACCCTGGGTAAAAGAAAAATAATAATAATAATTTTATGAGAAATTCTTTAAATTTTCTGTTCTAAATTTCTTACTAAATTTGGAAAAATAATTCAGATGACTTAGTTTCATAAATCTAAAATTATTTGCTAATCAAGTTATATATATTGGCATTCTTAGTAAGCACAATTTTTTAGATGTTATTTTCTATTCCTTCTACTATTATATCATTCTAGAATTAATGCAATAACTGCTGCTGAACAAAATATATAATCCACCCTCTAATATTAATAAATTTTTCTTCCTTAAAGAAAAGGATAAATATATGCTGAACAAAATATATAATTCATTCTACCGATCTTATTGATGAATTGTTCTTTAAAAAATATGAAATTGAATTGTTTAAATTGATAAATCTATTTTTACAATGACTCTATTTGTGAGTAAAATTTTAATCTGTTACTATTTAATATTGTGTGCCTTACAACTATCACATTTATATTTATAAATTTAAAAGAAAGTTGTATAATTAAAATATATTTATTAAATTCCAAGGTTGTTTTATATTCAAATTGCTTAAACGTTAATAAAAATATTGAAACTGTTGCAGTTTTATTTATTTATTTTATTTTAATCATGCATAAATCTAAAAGCTTTCTGTATTTTCTTTACTTTGTCTGCTTTCAAAAGGATGTGAAAAATTATTTTTCTTACTGCAAATTATTTTCAGTTGGATATTTTTTTTTCTTTTTTTAAATTCAAGTATGAATTAGAATGAAACATTATTCATCATAGAATTTTCCATTGCAATAATATTTTAACTTTCATTATTAATTTTTAGTAATTTGAAGATAGATATAGGAAAAGTTAGAAAATTTTCTCAAAGCCTTATGCTTAATTTTTATAAAATAATATGAAATGAAATGTCTTAGAAATTTGATAAATCTGACAGTAAAAACAGCCAAAATTTTAGCAAAATCCTCCCCTCCTCTTCCTCAAATTTGTGATCTGAATTCAACATCGATTATACAAATTGGAAAACTAATTCTGAAAAAAAAAGCAAATTAGAAATACATAAAGTAACATTGAAAAACATTTAATTTTGTAAGTATTTTTTTTTTTTTTTTTTTTTTTGAAGCCCACGTTTCAAATTGCACATTTCCTAGTGGTGCCAACTGTTGCGATTTATCCGTAATTATTACAATTTCAAAATTGCAGTCAGACGGTTGAGTAATAAAAATGAAGTTTAAGAGCTGTTGCACTGTTAAAATAAATTTTTTTCTTCCTGTTTTATTACCAACAAGTGTAAATTAGAAAATCTTCTATTCTGGTTATTTTGAAGCCCACATTCAAATTGCACAATTCCCAGAGGTGCAAACTATTGCAATTAATCTGTAATTATTACAATTTTGTAGTCAAGGTTGCAGTGTTACGGTTGAGTAATAAAAATTAAGTTTAGAGAACTCCTGTTTACTAACTTAACTGTTCCTGTTACTTTCTTAACCTTACCTTGGTATACCTTACACACTTGCTAACCTTAGTACAATGTACAATACCTTGAAATTGTACTAACTTAAATTTTGTTAATGTTATGTCTGTTATTGTACTTCTAATTACCGATAGCTAGTATTGAAAATATACTTATCCGAAATTGCTAGTAGGCCTGTTAACACATACAGATATAACATTGTTGAAAATTTTTATACATTGGATTTCTCAGTTTTGTTAGATTTAATAATGCTAGATTATTTCTAGGCCAGGATAGCCTGGTTGAGCCCATGTTCAAAAGGTCGCGAGTTCGTCCCTCGCTGGCTGAAGTCTCTTGTAAAAAAAATAGTGACCGGTACACATTAAATCTGTTGGGTCACAAAGTCCTCCATGTCCCCATAACAAATCAAACCTCTGGGGGTACTGAGTTTGATCGTTCTCTGGCTCAGGTCAAAATTACGATACGTGGATGTACCAATGGGTTCCCCATAAAAAGGTTGTGATGTGTGTGGCTGAAGTCTTATTCTTGACCATAAATGGCTCCACTGAAAAACAAGAAATGCACCCTCTGCTTAAATTTCCTTGGATTCACCAAGCAGATATCGGAAAGCGGCATCAGAAACAGCAACAGATCTTTTCTTACAGACAACAGAATGAAGTGCCTGTAGTAAAAGCATATCATGTTCTACACTATTGGACATAATTGTTACAAATCTTTTTCATAAAAGCAGCAGTCTCTGCCAGATTTGGATCTCTACATTGGGAACTTATTTTTTCAACAGTTTCCATTTTTTTAAGTAAATCTTGCGTTTATCAACATGGCCAAAGAAAAAAAACAATTTTTTTTCCTGTTTGAAATACAAGAGTTAGAAAAAAATGTTTTTTTTTTTGGTAGATTGCTCATTTGGTCACCAAATGCGATGTTTTGGGGCAATGGCAATCAGTAGCAAGAATCCTAGTCCAATCTCTTTAATGAAATGCATGTACATTTCACTTAAGCACTTTCTATTAATTCATTTACAGTATTGTGTTTTTTTGTTTATTCATATTTTTCAATTCACAATTGTTCTTATAGTAATATTTTCTCAATGTCAATATGTAGAGCAGGGGTTTCCAAGTAACATGTGGCCGGGGGCCGCAATTAAAAACACCAATTAAATGGCGGGCCGCAACTTTATCAAAATTTTATATTAGACTCTTTTACGTTTGTAGTTACATTAAATATTACTGTCAGATTTTTTTTAATATAAAAACCAAAATAAACAAGCATTACAAATAATGCTTGATACGTATCATTTTGAATCTTCTCTGAATTAGAAACTTAATGACAAGATTTTTTTTTTTCTTTTAAACTTAATTCTATGATGAATTAACATTTTTTCGACTTAGGAATTATAGCAACAACAAAAAATTCTTGAGCATCTGAAATTGAATTTTTTTCTTCCTTTTCCGCTCATGCGATATTCAATTCAACGTATTTAAATAAAAGATGCTATTCATTCCCTCTTTTATGCGTTATAAAATTTACAAATGTAAATAATTTCGTCCAAAATGAGTGATTTCAAAAAGTTAAATGGGAGAACATCTTCGAGAAAATTTCTGATACGCACATGCTAAATTATATTCACAAAATACGAAAAAAAAAAACAAATAAAAAAGAGCAACATACACGACATAAATAAATATTTTCTTGGATGCAAAACCTGAGAAATAATTTTTTTTGCACCGTTCATTGGTATGCTAAATTTAACAGAAACGAAGAAATTAGGTTTTTCTAAAGGAATGAAAAGTATTTTAAACCCATATAGATTTTTTACGAAAATTGTCCGCAAAAAAACGACAACTAATATACTTTAGTTCGCGGATCACAAAAAAAGGCTTCCGGATGCGGCCCGCCAGTTTGTAACCACTGATGTAGAGCATTCGTTGAACAGATATCTTTAATAAAGGTTTCAGAAATATCTGCGGCAACCTTTACAACAAACTTACTTTACTTTTTCAACAAACTTTTAGTCAGTTGAAAAAGCACATTAAACAAAACTTAATTACAAACAAAATTACATGCTCAGTAGTCGGGGTCACTGTGCTGAAGCATTCGATAGCAATTGACTAGCTTGCGCATTTTTCATTGCCCAGTCGATTTCTGAGTTTAGTATGGATGAGTTCAAATTTCGAGAAGATCTTCTTTGAACTTTTTGTCGATTTGAATCGATTCAAAATTATTTTACCAAATACTTATAAATTATTTTACCAAACTATGGGTTTTTGACATGACGGTAAAAACTATGGTAAAAACCGTCATGTGTCAAAAACTTGCCAACCCTGCTGCAAACATAAGGGAAACATGTACATTTCGTAATGAAATATTTTAGATGAGCATAAAAGCATTTTTCACAATCTCTGGCTACACAAAAGCAACTTTAATATTCTATGAATGGTCCCAAATTCTGATATCTTAGCTAGACAATGGTATATGGGTGGGTACCATCAATATATGAAATCTGACACTCCATAGAATACCTGAAATTTTTAAGTAAAGTGTGAAATTATAAATATTTAACACATTACCTAAGCATTCCTTAGAACGACAAAAAACCTATAGGCTTTTTATACAATGACTAGGCATTGTATATGTAAGTTGCCAGACATGGAACTGTATGAGCAAACTCTAAATCAATGCCGTATTTACAGATGAAAAAAAGTTAAGTTAATTAGAACTTTAAACAATATTTCCTCTTATTTTTTAACTAATCTATCTTGTGTTAAAAAAAATTTAATAACTAATTATTTATCTAATTGAAAATTCATATAAAATGTGCATTGAGAATCTGATTGGTGTAATTCTGGCAGACCCATCTAACTAGATCAAGTAAGAATTTTTTTTTTGTCGTTGTGTTAATCTGTTCTATTGTAGTTTGTTTTATCACTAAGTTATTTGAAATAAATACAAAACAATAAAAAATAAACTGTGTCACTTAAAATCTATGAACTGGATTATTTGAAAACAGGGTGCGTAGCCAAATTTTTCAACAAAAAATAAGCACTTTTCAAGAAAAAATATTTTTAAGCATTTTGAAAAAATTTCATAATTAGAAAGGGTTGACAAGTTTTTGACAATGATGGTTTTATTTGCTTGCCAGTGACGAAAATGATGGAGCATCACCAACAATGGAATTAACAAGAGAAAAGAAAACTTCTATCGCTAATCAAGAAAAAAAATTGACGAAGTTTAGTTGGTCCCCATAATCAGCAAAAATTTGAGAGATTTTTCGACTCTATTACTGAGGGTGAAAAATTAAGTCTGGAATTGAGAATCTCTTGCAAAATGCAGCATAGTTGCACATGAGAGACAAAAATCCTTACCACTGAATCCAGCTTATTATATGTAAGTGCGGACCCGCAGACATTTCATCAAACATGTAAAACAAATGGTGTTTTCATACACTACAGACCGACGGTACGCCGAAATAGATTGGGATTGAATAAATTGTGAAAATGTTGAATAGGACAATGTTTTTTTTGCATAATTTGTGGTAAAAATCAACATGGTAAAGAAAAATATCACATTTTGGAAAAAAGAAAATTAAACACCCATGGAAAAAAGCACCTTTAACCCACTGGCGGTTACGGAAATGGGCAAAATTGGGAGAATGTTTCTCACCTACACACAGTTCCCCTATCCATTAACATGGGAAAACCGGTTTTGCTATGCAGAGAAGACTGCATGCTAAAATGTGACTTATTACGTGCAGAACCGTCACTGGGTTAAAGGCCTTTAAAAAATGAAAATAAACACTTTTTAAAAATGCTATGCACCCTGGAAAAAATGGCAATAAAACAACTGTTTGCATTATAAAAGTTTAAACAATTTTAAGTTTTTTGCCAACAGACACAGTACAGTTCTTATCACAATGTATCAACAAAAATATAAATGTATAGCTTTGCTTGTTGTAAATTTTAACTGTCAGTTGAATTAGATAAATTTTGCATTATAACTATAAATAATACCCTCAGTTTTGATACTGAACATAATAACGGAGATATTTCCATATTGGTACCTATCTGCCTTAACTACCTTCACCAAAGGGTTTACAGGTTTTTGTCCTTGAAAAATTTTTTAAAAATTTGTGTAATTGTTTACCTTGAGATGGCTACAAGTTATACCCTTCAAATAGGTCCCCTTTAGAGAGCTTCTTCTTTTTTTTTTTAATTTATCACTGCCTGCTATAAATATAAAAATCTTCCAGTTTAAATCTTAACAAATTAAATATCTCAAGACATGTTTTATTGATCTATTAGTGCAGAGTTACCAGGAAGGCAACAAATAATAAAAAAATTGAGTGAGTAAACCTGTCAGTTTTGTGCACATTTGTGTAGTATTCATTAGCATTGATTAATACTTTCTGAATATCCATTTTTGGAAAGAATGAAAATAATCAATAAATAAGTATTGATATTTGTTGAAATTTTCAGGCGTCATTATAATAATAAATAAATACCTACCTTAAATAAAAAATTTTGTTTAACATAGCTGCAGCAACTAGAAACCATAGCAACACCAATGTTACAATTTTAACACTATTCAACTACTATAAAACATGTTCAAACAAACACTTTATTAACAAAAGCACAGTTTAAATCTTCAACTCTACTTATATTTCTAACAGATAAATTGAAAATAAAGATTAAGGTTTTATTATATTTCACGAACTTAAAAAAAATTCATATAATGTCCTTATGCAAATTAAAAATGAAAGCAATTTATATGCACTAAGATTATGCTTTTTAATGATGTAAGAAATTAATTTTAACAAACATAGGTTTAGTATCAATACATTTTTGGGTAGCCAGCATTCCATTTGATGCGCAGGTTTTCTTTTATAGTCCTTTGATCGAGTTTAACCCGTTCAAATTCAGGATCCCTTTCCAAGTCTTCAGGCTTAACTTTTAAACGCTCTGCAATAACTAATTCACCACTTTGTTTTAGAAATGTTCCATACAAATCGTCATTTGTGGGTAAACCGTCTGGGAAAGTTATAGGTTTAAGACGAATTAAATGTTTAACTTTCCACAACATTTTGTTGTTAGATGCGGTATTTTTTACTGTAGCGTATTTTGCTTTATCTTTATGTAATCCTAGTTTTAAAATAATTTCTTTCTCCCAAATAGGTCGGTGAATAAGGGGTGCAACTCGCCACACCATAAATAGTTTAGAAGGTTCAAATCCCTCTTCTGAAAGCTGCCGATACTTTTTTACTTGATCAAAAAACTTTTGAGCGCTACGCAGCTCAGAATCAGAATAACTGGTTTCCGCTAAAGGTTTTTTACGCAACTTATTGTAAGTTTCAATTGCTTCAAAGTCTTTTTTGCTTTGTTTAGCCATGAAAGCTGTAGGAATAATCTGCACAGAAAGAAGAGTTCGTCTCAATACAATTGTATTGAAAAACATTTTAAATATCAATAATTAGTAATTTTATAGCAATATAATAATATAAATTATTTCAGTTGGTGAAGATGAAAATGTTTATAGAAATCACTTTAGACGACACGACAGACTGCTTACTTCTGTCCATTTGAATGTATTTTACTTCCACAGAACTTTATTTTAATTTATCAAAACTTAATTTTATTTTATAAAGCAAACATCTTTAGAGTAAAAGTAATAGAATTACTTTAAAAACCATTTTATTTAAATAAACTTACAACTTTACTAAATTAGATGTAAGCTTTAACCTAAACTAAATTAATTTAATGCAGGAATTGGCATCATTGTGTTATGCTTATGCCGGGTTAAAGAAGAGAGAAGACATTTTTTTGCTATTAAATTAACTTTCTAAATTATGTTTACATAAGATCTTAGATAACATTTTATCTTAATTTCTCTTAACTACATTGTAGTTTACCATTCAATTATGACTGAAGAGCTACCTTTGATAGCTCAAGTGAGCAATGTTTCTACCTTGGCCACTTTGGATCAAATGGAGAAACTGTTTGGATTTATGGGAAAAATCAAAGATATTAAAATGTACCCTACTGTCTCTGTGGTACAGCCTCAATTTAAAGTATGTTATGTAAAATATGCGGAATCGTGGAGTGTGCGAGTTGCTTTACATCTTACTAACACTGTCTTTATCGATAGAGCGTTAGTTGTTGTTGCTATTCCTGGTGATACAATTCCTAGTGAAGATAACACAGCTTTCGATCTTCATAATCCAGTGTCAGCATTACCAGGTTTATTGTCGTCTGGATTCAAAGATGTTAGTAATGATATCGCCGCTGTGGATGGTAATTTAGTAATTACGTCTATTGATACCAATTTAGATATTTTGGGTCTGCCTCAATATCCTCCATTGTCTGCTGATCAAGATCCCAATACTATTGAAGAAATAAGGAGAACTGTTTACATTGAAAATATTAGCTCACAAGTAACTGCTTCACAACTTCTTGATTTTATAAACGGAGTTGTGGGTGAAGTTAAATATCTCCGTATGGCCGGCCATGATGATAAGCACATGACTCAATCTGCATTTGTTGAATTTACTGATCGAGCTTCTATTGTTAAAGCTCTTCAGTGTGATGGAATAACGTTAAAGGGTAACAAATTAAGCATACAACATTCAAGTTCAGCAATCGTTAAACCTCAAAAGGATTCTGAAGTTATATCTGAAAAAGATACTGAAGAAGCAATGAAGCGTTTGAAAGAAGCTGAAAGCCTTATTGCTAGGGTGGTTGAACCTGAAATAAGTGGTAAATCTTCTCGTTCTAGACGGCGTTCCTCCTCGAGATCAAGGCGAAGATCATCATCTAGGTCGAGACGGCGATCTAGATCAAGTTCAAGGCGGTCATCGCGTAAGAGAGATAAAAGATCTCGTTCCAAAGACAGAAGAAGATCTCGATCTCCCAGACGGAGATCAACATCTCGAAGAAGAAAATCACGTTCTCGAAGTAAACAGTCCAAAACACACCGATCTCGCTCTAGAAGTAAACCTAGACGTTCCCGGTCTAGAAGTCGTCCAAGAAGATCCAGATCAAGAAGTAAAGCTCGACGTTCAAAGCGATCCTATTCCAGAAGTAGACGATCTCGTTCCAAGACAAGTGATTCAAAAAGTAAGTTGGGGAAGAAGAGTCGTAGATCAAGGTCTAGAAGTATTCGATCTCGAAGAAATCACCGTTCTAGATCAAGAAGTGGCTTGGCCCGCACCAAACATCGTAGGTCCCGTTCTCGCAGTGCACGCTCGCGTTCAAGAAGCAGATTATCTAAAAGGAGCCGTAGAACCAGTTCTCGAAGTCCAACACGTTCTAAAACTACTAAGAGATCTAATTCTAAGAGTCGTTCTTCTGTTGCTAAAGACAGATCTCGATCGAGGAGTAAAACTTCTCAAGTTACTAAAGATCCTAAGTCTGTTAAAGTATCAATCTCGTCTTCGAGATCTCAGTCACCAGATGCATCTAAACTTCCACTTTTAGGAGAAGAAAGTGATAAAAAAGCAGAAGATGATAAGTGCATGCCAGACATTGAAATGAAGTCTACATCACCAGCAAGGTCAGTGGGTAGTCCAATTACAAGCTACCCTGTAGAGGAAAAGATTGGTCCTAAAATTGAGATTAAGTTTGAAAATATAGAAAGTGAACAACCTGAGAATATGGAAATTGATAAAAAAGAAATTGAAGTAGCTGTATCGGAAAAATCACCAAATGAAAATATTTTAACTGTGGTTAAAGAAGATGCTGAATCAAAAATAAAAACAAGAGATAAGACTAAAAGTCGATCAAGGTCGAGAAGTCCTAGTAGAGTAGCCAGCAGGTCCGGAAAGTCTTCGAGAAAGCCCAGATCGAGGTCAAGAGATCGTAAACGATCTCGTTCTCCTGTGAGAAAAATAAGGAGGCGGTATTCTTCATCCGAAAGTTCATCAAGCATTGAAAATGCGCGGAATCGTGGCAAAAAGTCTGTGTCACGACCTAGATCTAGGTCACCTCGTAAATCTAGCAGGCGTTCGTCGAAGCGCTCTGAGTCACCTGCTTCAAGACATCGTTCTCACAGGGATAAAAAATTGAGATTGAGAAAACGCTCTGTTTCAAGAAGTCCTGCTAAACGATCAATTTCTAGAAGTCCAAGACGATCTCAGGCTAAAGAGAGTGATAAAGAAATTTCTCGCTCCTCTTCTAAAAAGGAAGGACCTGAAATTCTAAGAAAAAGAAGCTGTGACAGTGATGCAAAAGCTTCAGAGTCTGATTAACTTTAATATCATTTTTTTTTTTTTTTTTTGCAAGTCTCTGATTCATTGTTCTAATTATAAGTATGCATAAATCATTAGAATTTGATAAGACTGAAAAGATATATACTTTGATAAAGCAAATGAGAGCACGAACATAAAGTTGTATTGTAAATATATACGCATAGTAAAACATATGGATGGTTTTATTGATCTTAAGTAGTAACAACTATTACAATGAAAAACGTATAAATATTAGGTAAACAAAAAAATAGTTGCATTGTGATTTATTCAAAACTATGCATAATCAGTTCAAACAATTTAGAAAAAAAAATCTTTAAAATACTGGTAAATCATTGATCTGANCTTATTCCTAGAGTCAATAAAAAAATTTTTTTTAAATAAATTAGTATAATAGTATCTTTAACTTATTCTCAACTTCTCTAATAATACTATTGAAAATAAAAGTCATCGAGGAGATTTTATATCTACACTATTGTATGTCTCTCCTAATGGAAAGCAGTTATCGAGCTAGGCATTTATAGAGGTGTAATTTAAAATTTTCGTAGTTTTGTTTTCATCTTCAGAATACAAAAACATGAACAGTTTATATTTATCATTATCATAAGGTATTTCTGTAACAAAATGGCTGATAATCAGACTTGGATGAAATAGAAAACCTTCCTGCGAACACAAAAATCTCACTTAGAAAACTTTCTGCACTCGTTGCTCTTGGTAACTAGCTTCAACCCTTTCTTCGCCATCTCATTTTGTTTGAAAATCCCAGATTCTTTTAAAAGTATTTAATTTTTATAGAACTTTATATTGGTTCATACTACAGGGATAAGTTTGGTAAAAAAGTTGAAAATAAGGAATCCAAAAATTTTATGCGCAAAAACATTTTTTAAATAATTGCAAAGATCCCTGAAATTTGAGTGGAAAAAAAGTGTGTGTAAATAACATTAATCCACATAATGTAATCAACATTTCAATAAAAATATTGATGTGAGATTTCATTTACATAAAGTTTGTGAATATGAATCTCAATGAGTAATTTTTAAACCACACGAATCCAAATCATATTTAATTTTGAATTAGTTACAAATTTTCCGTGAATGGCATTCGTATACATTATACAGGTCTGCTAATAAATACCTGTACTAAAGTATTTATTTTCACCTTTAAATCCATAGTTCAATAAAGATAGCAAATGTTTAAATATATTGCTAAAAGCTTTTTTTTGTTATAAGTTTTAAAAATTGAATGTTTATTCTGGTGAAAATTTGAAGTCCTCGAAAGCAAAGTCCCAGGTTATTCAAATGTAAATGCAATGACATTAATATACGCCATTCATAAACCTATAAATGCCATTTTTAACATTTCTAATTAGTTTTGCTCTAGTATAATATGAAATATATTTCATAATTTATTTTCATTTTGTACATCATTTGCTCAAATAAAATGTCCCTTATTTCCTTTAAACAAATACTGTAATATTTCTGAAAATCTTAGTCAAAGTGAATTTTCTAATGTTTTAATTTAAATTTTCTATAATCTTTTTCAAGGCTTGCTTGCCATTTACACGGGTACCCAAAAAAGATGCCTAACAATTCAAAGGTAAAGCTACTTGGTAATATTTCAGTACATGTTTACGAACAACATTCACCAAGGCGGCAAAAGTTTTTGAACTTGCAAAATATTAAAATAGATATTTGTTGTGGCTTGCCTGGAGATGGCTTCTAGTTGGCCATTTCTGTGACTTTTTTTTTTTAAAGATTTTTGCGAGCCACAGCCCAGTTGATATCAAAAATGTGCGGTTATCTTAATACTACCAATACAGTGGTCCAAATTGATGCTAAGAACATATTAAGACAGATCATTAAAATTTAATGAACATGTTTTCGTATTTTGTCGTAAATTTTTTGCTTTGCCAAAAATAAACTGAATTCATATGGGCTTAAAAATGAAAGAGAAATTATTTGTATGCATTTCATTCTGTAATTTGTGCAGTTAGCTATTTCAATAAGAATTAAGTCGAAATAATGCAACACCATCAGTGCCAGATTGAAGAAAGATAAAATCAAATAGGTTACAATAATTTTTTTTATTATTTCACTATTTAAATATACAGTCTTCTAGATTAGTATTTCAGCAAAAATTTATGTAACCTATGGTACAATTTATTTCCTATGAAATCACCATTCGAATTCTACTTACATTTGTAGTTATAAAAATATTTATGTAAATGTTTTCAAATATTTCTAACATTATAAAAATATTTTCAAAAGTTTGATTTCCTCACTTTTCCCAGTGCATTAATACAATGGAGAGCAATAATTAGAGAACATGACTATTTTTTGGCAATCTATCATAATTTCATAAGCAAATATTCAAAATCTAATTTTATTTTCATGTTCAGGAAATGAAAATGTAACCATTAAATTTAATTAATGAATAACTCCTAGCAATTTTGTTGCTATTTTCTGTATTAAAAAGAATGAAATTTTAAATTTATAGTTAAACATAGATATTGTTAATCTATATTTTTCCATTTTTAACCTCATGTATATTTATTAGGAGATATTTTTTTCTTATCAAACATGAAACTTTCAATGCAAAGTATGCAGTTTACCCAGTAATTTTAATTTTACTGAAATACATTAATTATTGTCATCAAGTACTTTATTTAAATCTACTTGTGGTTATGAAAAATACTTTTAATTTTTATGGCCTCTAAATAAAGTATTAATAGCTAAAAGACTTAGCTGCATTGAAAATATCCATTTTTATTCATAGAGTGACCTGGGGTAATTCCTGATCAAAAAATGCAAACATCTATTTTGTGAAAAAACTGTTCAAAATAGAATTTTAATATTTACTGGAAGTTTGAGGCTATATGAGATGAGTCCTATGCCAACTTCTTTTGTTTGAAAATCTAATTAGAATTTAAAAGATTTTAAATTTTTAGTTATCAGGAATTACCCCTGGTCTTGATCATTTCTGGGGTAATTCCTGATCACTTCTGGGGTAATTACTGATCACCAGTTTTTATTGTAAAGGGGCTGTTTAAAAATAATTATATAATGGTAATTAACAAATAAGACATCAAGATCAAACAAATAAACCAAAAAGATATGTTTAAGCAGCTAATAAAA